AAAGACCTCTGGTCTGGTTACATGAATTATGCCCAACCTAACCCCCCTGAACTGGAAGCAACCATATATGTATTTTTATATATAATCAAGGAATAAGTAGAAAGAATAATTTAAAAAGATGATTTATTAAATTATTAATGTTATATACTGTATATCTTGTATATAATTTTATGGATTGACATTTTTTATGAGGTTATTAAAAAATATAAATATAAAAAATAATAATTAAACTCTAATATTGATTAAAATATTATATAAATAAATCATTAAAATTATTTAAATAAATATTTAATGTATTTATGAAACATGATTTTAAATAATAATAATAAATATATAAAGAATAATTGTAATTTTTATTATTCAATTTGATTCAAATATTATTTCATAATGGATGGAAAAAACTTTATTGTTAAGTTTAACTTTTATGCGATATTTATTTTTTTTTCTATGAAATTCATCAAATAATCTGAAATTGTCGAATATAAATATCTAAAGTATATAAAGATAGAATATTATAATTTTGCCAATAAATTGTGTTGCCAAATACTATTTACGTTTGATTTGAAGTTAAACAATCAATATTAACTTCGGAAATCATAAAACATTCAAGTACATGTGATAAATAATTTATAACAAGAAAATAATTGAATTTCATATTTTAGTATATTATAGATAGTGAATAGTATCAAAAATACTAACTTAAAATCCATTTAAGCAGAACTCTTATGTGGTTAACTGACCAGATCTTAATCCGATTGAGAACCTATCATAGATCATGAGGAAAAGGATTAGAAAAGAACCTTTTCACAGAGTGATCTTTTGCGAGAAAAAATTGATGCCGGGTTATGTTATAAGTTGATGAAGTTTACATTGAAGTGTCAGCAGTTCAAGTGTACATTGTAGATTAAATTTTACATTTGTTAAATAAAATATGGCAAAAGTTACGGTTATATAATAACAATTAATTGCCATTATTTGGGGTTAGTCGCGAGTCTTGTACGGCTCGGTGACTATCATACTGTATATCAAAATAAATACAATAAAATAAAACACGTAGACGAGTAGTTATTAGAAAGCTTGACATGATGTTCATAACTACCCTTAGGCTTTACGTAAGGTACTATTATCCTCATTATTCTTACACTTGCGTCATGTTTTGACGAGTTTTTGCAGTCACCCGTGGTTCCATTTGTGGCGCATTATTTAAATCATTATCTAAAATAATTTAAAGCAATGGCATAATCGTGTTGCAGTGTAAAATAAACAAAGTCTATTCTTTATCTACCATAACTCTTTGTTCAACAATTATAATGTAGAGAAGTGATGATGTTTTTTTATCATTACAGTTTTATGTAACGGTTGAAAAACAATTAAAAAATTTTATTACGTAATAAAAATAAATATAAAATTAAAGTGATTAACTATTGTAAACATCGAAGTTTCGTATATAATACAAGATATTGGCGTCATCATAATCAACTATAGACGGAATAATAATTTGAGAACCATGATGAAAGGAAAAATTCCAAAGGGTATCAATTGAAGCAGACACAATAAGATCCATAGTAGGGGGCGGTATTAGGGGCACAATCGGCCCAAGCGTACCCGGTGTAGCCAGAACAGAGCGCATTGCAGGACGAATCGGAATAAGCTCCACCGTAATACCATTGGGCGGCAAGGGTGGGTTCGGCCATCATTGAGATGAGGGTCATGATGACGAAAAGAGCGATGAGTTTTGAAAACATGTCTAAAAAAATAAGAATCAGTTAGGGCGCGAGATAAATGTTAATATAAATGACTAATCATGTACAGTACTTTGATTGTGTTAGTCGAATATGGTTAGAGGATAGAGAATTGATCGTTTTTACTAAAGCAAACCCAAAACTGATGACATTATATAGTGTTTTCTAGCGAGCGCCTGAATTCTAGTCTCGCACCTGCTATCGCTGATTTACTTCAGTTTGGCAGTGAGTTTCTCCCGCACATGAACCATTCTTGGTGTAGGAGGTACTTTTCTCCTTGATCAATCCAGAGTACAAACCTCTTGTTCTAGCTCTGGCCATCAAGTTTTTACGGAAGAAAACTGCGGATAATGAATTCTGACCGCGTTGTAGAGAATCGAATTCTAGATGATAACGTAAACATCCGTAAGGGTGTATTGTGTGATGTACAGCCATAAGCGTTGCATATACGTACGTAGGTGGCAACGATCACACATTGAGGTGTACAGCCAAAGTCCTGTAAGATTGCACAGCCGCGTCCGATCATCAGCTAACATGTTACATATCCTCTACCGCCACACTTAACCCTGTCCGATACTGGTTAGGCATCTCCATTTATGGTAACTGTCGATATAACTTCGGCGGTTAATGAATTTAGTCTTTCCGTATTACTGCCGGCTTTACTGTAGTCGTCTCCTCTTAGACGTTTTATCATAAACAAACTCTACTTACAATTATTCTTTCAAACAATTTTTTCCTATTTATCCAACGTTATTTTAACTTTAATACTTTATTCTCTTAACGATTACTGTGTTCTTAAAAAGCATGAAATCCCATCGTATTAGCACGGACATACTTGTTTCTCTTACTAAAAATTTTTGACTCTTTCGTCCGATGGACTCGCTCTACTTCGAGAACCCTTAATCCATTCGGAATTTTAGTTTAATTGTTTTCCACTTCTTTCGTAATCGACGACGGAAAATCAATATACTAACAAGTTTTCAATCGACGAACTGATACTCTTTTGAGTTAATCCTGACGATAAGTATATATAACTTTCAATAATTCGCTAATAAATCATATTCAAAAATGATAATTTACAAGAAAATGGTCAATATCAGGGATGCTAACAGTTTGGCCTGACCAATTTGCATTGTGATTTGAATAATCCCTATAACATTGACCTAATTAATTAATTTCGAATAAAGGAATTTTGAAATTACAATAAATACGCATACATTATTTAATTAATTTTCATGACAATAATCTTAATATATACTGTATGTAAAAATGGATTTCAATATTAAGAAATATTTAAAAAATTCAAGGTCAAAATGTTACGATATCTGATTTTATTATAATCGAGTTACGTATAGACAAATCAAATTTTTAGTACTTAGTTAAAATGGGTTTCTAAAATAAAGATATATATAATATCTGCACACTACCGAATTAATTTTTTAATTATAAATAAACAAAATTCGTGAATTAAATTGGCAGTAATTAGTTATAATCCTTGGAAAATAACGAATCTTTATAAAATTTATAATATACAGTACCAGAGTTTATGTGCCATGAATAATGAGGACCCAGTATTAAGCAAATCATTCCTTCCTAAAAACATGCATTAATATGTAAAACACAGCATCTCTCAAAATGTAAATTATTTCGATTTATGGCTCCATTAAAGGCAAAACAGAATAATAACTAATTTTCAAGTCTTCCATCTTGTGATTCATTCAAGTTCTAGGGAATAAAATCAAGCATATTAAGAAAAACTCATTCATGTAAATAAACCTATCGAATATTAATAAGACGGAACGTATGTATTCGGTGAACTGCACAGTATTGCATTCAGTGAGCTGCACAGATTGACTACATTCAGCGAACTGCGCCGGTTGATTATGCTTAGTGAATTCGGCTGATGCTTCAGGAATGTTGATTGGATGAGAATCCGAAATCCAGTTGTCCAGCGAGAAAACATATTCCAGTTTCGAGTTACCATGTGCAAGTATCGTAAAATAATTTTTCGTTCACGTGACATTTCTCTCCAAAAAAACGATGCCAGTTTTGCACTTTCTACCCTTGGAATCTTGCGGCCGGAAATTTCGTTTAAGGAACGATGATACCAATTAAGATACAATCTCCAAGGACTGTTTTCGTTTTTCGCTTTTGATTTTTTTTTTGTTGCGAGCAGAGGGACCCGTAACTTTATCTTTTGATTCTCTTTGATTACTTGTTGACAAAGTCATTTTTTATGGAGTCTCTCGTACGGATGAAATGTGACGGTCCTGGAAATTTTAGTCGCTCTTTTATACTTTATAACGTTCGCAGGATCTGTATTGCAAGTCTAAAGACAAACATGCAAACAAAGAAAATAGTTATTCTTTTTTTTTTAAAAAAAAAAATAAAATTATTTTGTGTATGGAAACCAAGATCCGATGAAAGAGATTTTTTTTTTTCAATAATAACGATTTGGCATTTAAGTAGTTAGTTGATAGAGTGAAAACGTTCTCAGCAATGTTCTTTGTTACGTGTCGTATTTGAGCATGACACTTGCGTTTTTATTATATTTAAAAAATACTGCGCCGGAAAAAAAGGGAAAGAATTAAACTTGACAGAATAAGTAGCATTTATGGTACAATATTTTGGAATATCTGAAGAAACAATGGCAGTGAATCAACCAATTAGCTACAGCATAGATACGTACTGTATGTACAGTAGATAATTAAAGTAATTAATTAGAAAATTCATGTTTGACCCGCATACGAGTAATCTTAAGGGTTTTTTAAATACGTAGATATGCATTACGTATTCATATACTGTAGGATCGTTGCAGGTCGTCTTTTGTTCTCTCCGGAGAATTTACATGGTTTTGCTTTAACTAATTTCTTTAATACGTATTTTGTAGTCCAAAAAAAAAAAAAAAAAAATCTATAAGTATAGATTGATAATGATATTTGAAGCATAAAACTCAATAAATAATTCATTTTCTAGTTAAAAATAAATTATTTAGGCTATAAACTTTAAGGTGCATCATTATTGACTTTCTTTAATTATATAAAAGAAGTTTCACTTCACATATTTTGCTTTGCGTTCTTGAAAACCGACGAGACGGCTTTCCTGGCGATATCTCGACAGCCACCAATCCGTTTCGAGGAAACTAGTACCGATCCGAAATCACAATGATATTCTTTTAATCGAATCAGTCGTGCTCGGACAAGAATTACCCGGTCGGAATTATGAATCCGAATTCGCGATACAAATTATTATTTATTTATTTTACAAATGAGATAACTACTTTTACAAATGTTTTTGGTTACAAATACTGTATATGGTATTCTTGAAGGCGATCAAAATACTGACTATGATTTTTTCGGTCCCCAGTTTTGAATAATACGCATATAACGCAAAATTTAGGATCACATTTATAGAGTCCTAAAGGATAACTGTCCACCTTCGAAAATAATTACCCATATTAATAAAATCATAAATGAAAAAATTTTTTGTTATAATTAAATTGTTATCCCAAACATTAGTCTATAATAAAAAAGAAATAAATATAATTAAAGCATGAAGTGAAATTATAATTAATTATATATCAATATTATTACAGATATTGAAATGTCTATTTGAATTTTGTTCGATTGGCAGTTGGAATTTGGAATTAAGTTCTATGTATGTGTACATGTTTATTTGATTTTGAAATGATGAATATATAATATATCATATAATATACTGCATACGTACACCGTATGGATATTATTTTATGCCTAAATGTAATAAGGGAATAATTTCTAAACAACAGATACTGTATGCAAAATAAGTTTTAATTAACATGCACATTTCTTTTAACCTTTGGAGATTTACCAAGTGCAATCCAATCTCGTTAAAAATTTTTGACCATCAAAATTTTTTTATACAATGGAAGTAAGACTTGTGCATGCGTATAGCAGGTTTATGTCAGAAAATTCTTGCTTTAATAAATATTCACGCCAACAGCAATTTATATATTTCCTTATTTTTAACTGATGAATGATGGCGAAGGCTATCGTTTGCATATTCGACAAATGACGATCCAAATGGGGTTATCAATCTCCGTGAATTGATAATGCAGAGATGGGATGTCTTAAAACATTCACACGAAGAGTTTTGTCAGGAAAAAAAATGCACCTTATATAAGTAAGGGCATTCGCTAACTTCACTTTTTTTAACATTGAAGTTTACGTGGAACGTACCGTAAATCAGCTCGGCCTAGAAAAACCAGCATATACTGTACACCATTTCGAAATTTTCACTATTTTCACTATTTTCACAATTCGCAAAATATGTCCGCAACAACCAAATTCATCATTTTTGGGGTTATAGCTCTAGTTGCCTTGGTAGTAGGAGTTACGACACTTACCTCCGGCGATTTTATTGCATACATTGTCGGTGTATTCGTGCTAGTATTCTTGGCAAGCTTCGCCATTCGGTTATGCTGTCAATCACCAGGTGAGGCAGCTTGCGGAGCCTTGGCAGACATAAATAGGGGAGCCGGAAATATGGCCAACCGTATGGAACGGGGTGAAGAAAGGGCTATCAGTAACATGGAACAAGCCTACTTTAGAAATTAATGCGGTAAACGTTCCCGTCGTTAGAATATATATACTAAATGTTGACAATTTTTCTTATCTAAATACGTTACTAATGTTCTACAACCCAACGATTTTCTTGTTTTTTTTTTTTTTTTTTTTTAATAGGAAGTATATAAAAATTTTTTATATATTAAGCGAATCACATATTTTCGATTGACATTGTACTGCAATTATATTTTATAATTTGCTTGTAAATACTGTTGTTGCGTAATAAATGCATTGTTATCAACAGACTATCATCTAGCAAAACAATCATTTTTATGACATATCAGTGTATGAGCAAGCGTTTTTTAGTTCATTGTATAATAACACATGTATATATGCATCAGAAAGATTGTAATTATTATATTCTTTTTATTTATTCTTTATCTTTTTTTATAATAATGAGATTAAATAATGAACCTAGTGCTCCTCAATTCAAAATATAATCCTATACGATACAGTATAAAACCTAATGTTCATTGAAGAAAGATAAGCATATTTGATTTAAGTATAGTTAAGTTGTAAGTAAAAAATTTCCCGATTTTTATCTAATATATAATCTACTTGGAAAAATGGTATTTGTAAAATAGAATCAGATATAATTATAGTGAATATATAATTAAAGAAATAAATTGACAAATAACAATAGCCCACTTACAACTCATCAATATTGTATAGATTAAAAAAATCAAAAGCTAAGAAAATTTTGTCTCCACCTCTAGAATAATAAAATGCCAATCAAAAGCAAATTATATACAAAACTACCATCTATTTATTAGACAATTAGTATAATAAATAAAGTAAACCAAATACTAATATATATCTCTTTTTTTGTCAATAACTCAAAAATGAAACTAAAAACATTCTAAGAAATACAATAATAACATGTTTAAAGGACCATATAGAAAAAGAAGAATTTCAATTATTCATTATCTAATTCTCAAACAATACAAACTTAAATACAAAGAATAATTGATAGTGTCAGAGGTCATGTGGGTGATGCAATTTATGTATAATGGTCTAGAACCTAAAAACCTGAAGGTCTGGCATGAAGAATTGAGTGTCATGAGGTAAAAAACTATGGATTGAGACTTGAATACTAATAAGGGAACTATGTGTGTCTGATATAATATGAAAAGTTTAGCAAAGTTTATAGTTAGTATAGTCTATTGTAAAGTAAATAGTCTATTATTTGCTAAAAAATATATGAATGGCCTACAGTATAAGCAGAGAAGACAGTGTTAAATGTGTTAGAAAAACAGCTCTCATTGTGAATAGAGATAAGAGTTGGTATTATACAAAAGAAATAGAATATGAATAAAGAGATACTCACTTTTGACCAAGTTAATCATCATATCTCTACCTTTCCTAAGTGTTCTTTATAGGAACCATTCTCTTCTTTGTATTAGTTATAAGTATTTGTTAGTTGTTTGGATTATATGAGATACTATAGATTAGTGATAGACTTACTAAATTAGCTTACAACAATAGAAAGTATAAGAAGAGCTTTTTTCAAAGAGCTAATCCATAAAATCAAATTAACTATTCTAATTAGAATAGTTAAAATAAACTATATAATAGGAATCTATATTAAAATTATAAAGTACTTATATTAAATTTGACAAAAAAAGATATGAAGCCTTTCAAAAATAAAAGCTAAAATAAGAATTATAAGAAAAAAAATCAATAAAGTATAAAACTAAAAAAAAAATCTATTATTACTTCCAAAAAAAAATATATAAATGACTAATTTATATATTTTATTAATGACTTTATAAATCAATAGATAACAAATTACTGAACAACTTTTAAATATTTAAGAATTTTTTTAATATTAGCCCAATCATAATAAATTAGACCCATATATTGGAATAACAATAAGTTAAAAAGTAAGTATTTTCTTCTGAAAGATAACTTATTAAGTTTTTATTTGATAGTAATAGATAATATATATATATATTTTTTTTTAAAAATACCAGCTCAGCATATTTATTAGTGTCAATAAAGACAAATTCAAAGTTATATTGAAAGTATTATAAATATTATAAAGCTAATGAACTACCTAAAACCAAACAGTTTATTAGATTGCTTTTTGCTGCTCTATCAATAAGGAAAAGGAAATAGTCTAAAGTTATCTTTTAGCTAGTGCAAAAAATATTGAAAGAAATATAATAGGTGCTGTTGTGCATGGACCAAAGTTTCTTCTACTACCAACCATACACTGAGACTAATACCAAGGAGAATTCAACACCTATAAATTATTCACTGAAGTGCTATATCTTTTTATCTTTAAAAAGGAGAAGAGATGTTTTTCTTCCAACTGGGGAGGTGTATGGTTTCAGATGCCAGCTTTGTTGATATTATCTTATCTGATACTCTGCCTAGGGATTATTATCCAAAGATCAGGTAGGACCTATAGCTATAAGGAACCATAAAACTATGGTGGATTGATGACCTAGTCCTAGTAATAATATCAGCTTCAAAAATAAGCTGCTTATTTAAAAAGGTGCAACTCTTCCAAAGTCAAGCTAAGTCTTTAGGGAGTCTTCCAATCTGACAGTCGTTTTCAACTAGTACTTTTACCAGAAGTAAGATTGGTGATTACCACTAATGGCCTAAATGACCATGCTAAAGGGGGAGTCATATTAAAAGTCTTAATATAAGTCATCAGTTTATAATCCTTCTTTTTGTGTGGCCAGTTTTGGCTCTTGGTCCTACTTGTTTCTTGTTCTGGACTCAGTTTTATATTCAGGGCATAGTACTTTTCTTGAGGGCTTATAATGTTCCTTCAGTGTCATACCAGGTTGAATTTGTCTTGTTGTGAGTATGTCAGGTTACTTCTATTGATGTATAAGTTCTTTTGTCCATGAGCTTATCCTTTCTCACTCTTTCCCTTCTTCCATGATATAGAAGATGACTATATCCTGTATCTACTTGCATAACAGCCTATAACTTATAGTGGACCCCAGGTTCTTATGGGGCTGAAGAAATGCATTCAGATACATGAAATAATCAATAGGGGTTTATTTATCAATCTGATCCAATGTGTTTCATATCAACCAATTACAATCAGCAGGATTTGTATTACCCTAGAATTCAAGGTCAAGTTGAAGTAGGCAAAATTTCCCATAAAGCTGTGAAGTGGAAGCTCTTAGAGGCTACAGAATCAGGTCAAAGGGAAAAAATGGGTTCTTTGACTGGAAAAGAATCTTTATCATTCCTTGTCTTGTTCATCTGCTTCATAAGAATAGTGACAGGTACTATACTAGTAACCTTCTCCCTTTAAGAACTTTCTTGCTATCAGTAGTAAAGGTATGAGTGAACTTTATTGGTCACAAGAGTTCAGTTTACTTGAAGTTGATTGTAAACAAGAAGGAGAGGATATAGTGACTCTGAGGATTTCCTTCAGGTTGGATTAAGGAGAGTATTAAGACTTTATTAATCAAGAGATGTTAAAAACTTCTTGCAAATGTCTTTTTTGTATGTGGTCAGAGAATTAGCAGAAAGAGTTTTTTTTTTAAATAAATAGATAATATATTCTAAAATAACTTTTTATTTATATATTAATACTATATAATTTCAAATAAAACAAGGTTAAGTCAATGTAAAAAAAAAAAAATAATAAATAAATTATTCTATATATTTTATTAAATATTTCTTATATCACAGGTTTGTTTGTCAATACATTGATTATTTTATTATTAATTTTTTTAAACCTATGGTCAGACTAGTACAATAAGTTCAATTTTATATTTTTAATTTTATATCATATTTTATTGATAACTATTAGAATATTGTATAGTAAAATATTTTGAATATCATTAATAAGATATATAATAGGATTTATTGTCTTTATATTAATTTATTAATAATAGAATTTTTATTTTTTTTTACAATTTTAATAAAGTAAGATTTGTTATAGTTTCTTTGTAAAATTTGTTTTTATAAGTTTATAGAGTATCTACTTGATTTGTATTTATTGTAAAAATATCCAAATTTTTTGATATTTTCTTGTTTTTTAATTTGTAGTAATTATTGTTTGTTTAAATTAGACAATCGATTTTTTTTTTTTTTTTTTTTGACTGGCTCAGCCTTGTTTTATTATTTTTTTTCAAATTACATTTATATAGGATCTATGCTATACAGGGATGTATATTCAGTAATAGTAAACCTCGATAAGCTATGTGCTGCCTCGTGGCCTGTTGCCCTTCCTTTTGGGGGAAGAAACTAACATGCCAAGGCTGTGCTAATTGTCATATAGAAAGATAGAATGGAGAAGATGTTAGTTTGGTATTTTATGTACTTATTAATATATCTGTTTACTATTCCGGTTAGGTTTAGAAGAGATTGTTGTGTAGTAATTGGATCTGTGTGGCTTGTAGTTTTTTGTGTCTTGCTTGTTTTATGTCTGTGGTGCTTGGTAGGTCCTTGGGGGTTTTTTCGAGTAGCTTGTGAGAACAATCTTTGATTATATATTTAATATTAAAATAAAGATTATATACTTTTATATCTAAATCTATTTATTTGAGTTTATTATTTTCAAGTTTTATGAAGAAAGTTTTAAAAGCTTTTAGAAATTCTTTATTTTAAAGCTAGAAATAGTGGATTTTTTTCTTTAATATTAAGAGGTTCTTGAAATATAGTATATTTGAGCTTTAATGATATCAATTATTTTTTTGAGATTAAAGTTTATAGTACTTAAGGAAAGTTAATAAGTTTGATTATATATTTGTTTCTTTTTATTTTAATTTGATAAGTATTAAGAAAAGAGTAGATATAAATGAGATCTCCTTTGAAAGAAATTACTATCTACTTAAATTTTCTTATAGTTTACTTTATTTTGTATTCTACTGTGACTATTTACTATATGCCAATTGTTTATATTTCAAGAGATTGGATTTCTTCGAATTTAATAAAAAATGTATATACTTTATTATATAATATTAAGTGAAATATTCTATTTAAAAATACTTTTATAATATTATCATATATAAATA